AAGAATTCATTTTTAAATGATTTTACTGTCTGTACCATAGTCACATTTAAGTTGGCAGAACCACCTCCGGACAGACAAGGCAGAGACCTGTTACGCAAGGGAAAGTAAACGAAGGTTTTTTAAAGCTTGCAGAGAGAAAAGTGTCACGGTCATACAAAGATGGCTGCAGGAGTCTCAGAGGGTGGTGCCAGGGCGCGCGTGTGGACAGGGGTGCTGCAATGGTAGTTGGTGGATGTGTGTTGCCCCGAGGCCACTGCTGTTTCTCAAGGGCAATCTCATGTGCCTGGAAGCAGGTCACTTGAAACCCAGATGTACATGGAGTGGGGTAAAACTTGCACAGGATAAATTCTACAAGTTCCCTGGGCAGGTTCTATGAATCTCTTCTGTGACAAATGGTAGCGGAGTTATGATTCTGCGAAGGAAATCCCATAAAGGACACCAGGGGAATGTTTCCAACCTGTGAAATTCCTAGCCCAAATCAGTAAAGAGCCATCCATACCTCGGCAAGTTCAGCTGCTCGTGCGAGGACTTCTGAATGAAGCAGAGCAGGAAAGACTATCTGAACAGAAGAGTTCTGTGCTTCTCTCCAGCCAGCCCATCAGTGGGCTCCCTTGTGTCTCCAGCTACCCTCCGCTATGCCAAGTCCTGCTCAGATTTTTCCTGGAGAATCTTTTCCTTCTGTATTTTCTTTAACGTCTAGAAGTCTCGTTGTCTAGTATCCAGCTCTGTGATGCTACAGGCAAGGGCGTGTCCAGTCCGGGGAAGGTTGTCATGTTCAATGGGATTTACACGCCTGTTTGTTGTTATCTTAACAGCTTCATCCAAAGTAGCAAAGGAAGTCTGCCTTGAAGCTGCTCCTACTGCTTGGGCATTATTCCTCTTTAATTCAGAGGCATGGTCCCCACCTCTGGCTAAACCAGTCAGTTTGTAACTCTCGGTTCCTTCACGGTGATGTTCAAATACAAAGTCTCACCTGCAGCATTATCCTCGCGGGCACTTCACTCAGGCTCCACTGAACACTGTGGATAACTGTGGGTGCCCAAGCCCCTCGGACTGTGAATGTGGCCTCGGCAAGTAAGGTCAGCTTCTCTCTTTACATTTTGATCTCTGCCCTCTTCTTGAGGGTCTGGTGAAATCAGGGTGTTAAGGTATCACATTGTCTCTCTGGGAGGTTTTGACCCGTCTTGTTCCATTTAATCGAGACTTCCAGATGGAATGTGCCACCTTCGAGGGAGAGGTCTCCCCTGGGACTTTGCCCACTTTCTGAAGGTGACTGTTTGGCTCAGGTCTCCTGCAGCCGTCTCAGCCACAGTGCCTTCCTCCAGGAGGAGACTGCTTGTCGTGCCCATTCTCTAATGGGTGTATGTATGTGTTCAGTTTTGATGTAAATGCTCATGTTTTGTTAAGTTCGAGACCAACTTCTGTTTACTTGCAGACTCATGGGTAGTCTACTTTTGAATTCAACTGAAATAAAAGCTAACATTTATTGAACACATACTTTGCATTGGGCACTGTTCTAAGTGACTTACAGGTTGTAGCTCCCTTGATATATATATATATATATATATATATATATATATATATAATTTTTTAATTTTTATTTACTAAGAGAGGGCAGCAAGAGAGAGAGAACACAGCAGGGGGAGTGGGAGAGGGAGAAGCAGGCTTTGCTGAGCAGGGACCCTGGTGCAGGGCTCGATCCCAGGACCCTGGGATCATGACCTGAGCTGAAGGCAGACGCTTAATGACTGAGCCACCCAGGCGCCCTGCCCCCTTGATACATATTGTTTTCATAAATATCACTATATGTTGTTGTTCTAAATATGAACCGTCCTTATAATTTAGTTTGCAAACCTAATTATCAGCATAAAGAAACAGGTTCAGCAATCCAACATTGCCTAGACTCGAACTGGCTAAGCTTTATTTGCATTTTGGTTGATTGAAATAAATCCAAGCTATTGGTGTCATGAGCGTGCTTGAATCACAGGAGCCACTATTCAAGGGAAACAACATTGCTCACATTTTTAAAAGTTACATAGTACACACATTTGTATTTGTTTTAAGTAAATACCTGACAGTATTCAATTCAATACATTCTATAGAAGAGATCTCCCAAACTTTAGTCTCACCCCTAAAATAAAGGCCCCCCTTAACCTCCTGACTTTGACCTTGGTGATTGCATGCCTCACTCTTTTACCTTTGGACTCCATGCTTGATGCTTTTCTATAAAACAACTGTATTTCTTTCTCTGTTCCATCACTCTGGTCTTATGCCATCTTGGGGAAGCTCTGGGACACTGGCATCTGGTTAGGCTGGGCGGGCGGAGCTCTATGTGGCTTGCCTACTCTCCCTCTTCCCGATATCAGGCCCCACCAATTCAAATGTAGGTCTCATCCCTTAATGGGAGGCTGTGCGCAAGTTACCACTTGACTCTGTTTCTTGTATAAATGGGGTGGTGAGTCCCCTCCTCATAGGGCTGTAGTGAGATTTACTGATCATATACATATACACACCACACATGCGCGTGCGTGTGCGCGCGCACACACACACACACACACACACAGAGTCCATCACTGCATAGTACTCAAATAGTAGCTAAATAACTCTGGAAATAAGGCAGCTTTCTGCATTTCCCCCACCTTGGTCTCTGCTCTCAGGTTGTGATGTCCTGTCCTCTGCCTCAGCCCCCCTCTCCTATTAGTCAGTAAAGGGGACTCAGACAGAGTGCTCCCCTCCCCTAGGAGCAGAGACTCTCTCATTGGCTGCCATCACCATGGCAACTCACTGTCTCCTCCCTCCACCCTACTCCCTTTCCAGAGCAGCAGATTGTGGAGTTCCAGACTTCTCAGCACTGGGAGGGAGGAAGAAAGAGAAGCCAGGGAAGAGGGGAGAGGCTCCCTTGACTGTAAAGCAGCCCCATGGTTCAGGTTCACTTGGATTCCTGATACTGTTCTGGCGGGCAGTGTGACCTCTACTCTCTCTGCACATTCAGGCAACCATTTCGATATCCCTAGGCGTTCCTGATTGCCTTTGAATTGAGCCAGCCCGGGACCAGAGGGTCTTGGTTTTGTGGCATGTGGCATACATGATAAGCATGTTATTCCTGCAGAAGAAAGGTTTTCGTCCCATTGCCTTTGCCGTGTTGCTGGGGGTTACATGACAGGACCAGTGAGGGTGAGCTTGGTGGACTCCAAAGGCTGTCAGGGGTCATTCATTATTCTGGTCATCCCCTCCCCCAACCCTGTGGGGTTGCCCAGAGCTGGGCAACTAATGGGTGCTTTCCTTTCCTGGTGAGGGGGGTGGGAGTTGGATATAAAAATCCACATGGGGCCCCTGGAGAAGAGCACAGGGCACTGGTCAGGGAGCAGCCAACCAGTGGTTCCCAGCTGTGGGGTGCGTGCCAAGGTCTGAGAACTTGCTTCCTCCCCGACATGAGACGCTTGCAGAGTAGGTACACAGCATGGCTTCTGCACGCACATGTGGGGATATGCAGATGCTCTTTGGTGCTCTTGCAATTCAAAAACGATTTAAGAGCATGGGCTGAACGAAGGTGACTTTTGTCTGTTCTCAGTCAGCAGGGCGGTGGAGGTAGAAAGTAAGGGTCAATGGCATTGACTGTGGTAGAACAGACCCTCCCCTGGAAGGCTGAGGGGAGGATATCCTGACACCCACTACCATGTGGATGAGCCTTGAGGACATGATGCTAAGTGACACAAGCCAGAAAGAAAAGGACAAATACTGTATGAGCCCAATTACATGAGGTAATACATGAGGTAATGAATTTGCTAGAATAGGCACATTCAGTGGAATAAAAAGTAGATTAGAGGTTACCAGGAGCCGGGGGGGAGGGGAGTTAGTGTTTAATGGGGACAGAGTTTCAATTTGGGAAGACGAAAGAGTTCTGGAGCTGGATGGTGCTGACGGCTGCACAACATCGTGGATGTGCTTAATGCCATCGACATGTATGCAGAGAAATGGTTAAAATGGTTAAGTTTTGTGTCATGTGCCTTTTACCACAATAAAAGAAATCCACCCCCCTCAAAAAAGGAGGTGAGGTGAGGCAGGGTGCTGGAGCACGGCCATTGGGGTGCGGGGATGGGAGAAGACATTCAGTGAGGCTTTGAACAGAGAGGCTTTAAGGGGTCTTGTTCCACTGGCCCTGCTACTTCTGGTGGACCAGCAGGCTGAGAAGGTGACATCAGGGGCTCCTTGTCCTCATTTCCTGAGGGAACTAGGGAAGCCACCATGGATGACCCCTCTTCTCCCCTCAGGGGTTCATCTGTTTGAGGAGTCACCCCGGTAGTGATGCTCCTCAGCATCAGTCATGGTCTTCTTCCCTCTGGAAGGCCCGGGGGGAGGGGAAGGTTGGGTGGACTGTGAGGACCCACCAGTGCTAGTCACATTGCCACAGAAGAGGTGTGGCCAACATCACAGCCAGGTGGCAAGAGGGAAACCCTGCTCTCCTGGGGCCCACGTGCCACGCCCTCACGAGCTCCCAGGCCTGGGGTGTCTGCAGCTCCCTTTCTTGCCTTCTGAGTCACCACTCAAACCCACCAGCCCTTCTGACAGAGCTGGAAACAGGCACCGAGCCCTCTGGAAGCTATTTTTAGGGTTCATCTGTTCTTTCTGATTTCTCCTCTAGATTCCATATTTTCCCACCCCCTGAAAGAGCTAAAGATTCTGGACATCATTCATCATTCCCCCCTCCAGGTGCTCTCCCTGGCTGGATAGCTCAGCTTGCAAGCTGGGCCTTCACCCCCACCTTCGAGTACCACTCCCTCCTTCTCTTCTGGATCCCCACCCTCACCCTGCCCTCCCACCCCACCCCGGCTCTGGCTCCGTAGGCAGCATGGAAAGCAGGCTATTTGTCTGACATCATCTTCCACTCCCTGGCCTGCTAAGAGTTACTCACTCAGGCAATCCCTGCTCCGCCAGAGACTGTCCAATTGCCAAGCAACCCACTGTCGGCCAATCACCGAGCTCAGAGGTGATGTCATGGCGAGAGCGAGCAGTGGTGCTGATGTGGAGAGAAGCCCAGGGTACCACTAATTGAGGGAGTGAGGAAGGGAGCAGCTCGCTTCGAACGGGACTGCAGGTAAGTAGGAATGAAATGCAAATTATTTGAGGCTTTTCAGACAAAAGAAAAAATTAGCAGTGGCAGAGAGGAGAAGCAAAAGAGCTGGCACCATTGTGCTGCCTTTGGTTTCACTCCATCAATTCAACTTTGTCAAATCCTGGGGGAAATGGGGTGATGTGAAAAGAATGGGTCTACCCCAGGGGTAAGGGGATGGCTAGAGGCAGTCCTTCTATTCCAGAGCTCAGGAGAGAGAGGGCGGGCGGGAATTGCCAGGGTTTCTTTTGGGTCGGATGTCCATGGTGAGTTTTTTCCTGCATAAAAATGTTCTGTTGCACAGGCAGAATGGTTTTGTTGAGTCTGTCTTCCCCTGAGCTGGCTCTGATGCCCAGACCCACTTCAAGCTAGCAGCTGCTCTGGGTTTTACATTTCCTTTCTCAGCCACAGTTTTTCTTGGCTCCCTTTCCCTGTGTGTTTCATCCTTTTCTTTCTCCTTTATCTGCACTGGGTTACTTTTTGCTCCTGTATTCTAAGGATACAATGAGATCACCACCTCTTCCTAGCCCCGCCCCGCCCTGAGGTCAACTTGCTCCTACCTGGGCAGGGCCAGCGGGCTGTCAGGCAGCAAACTGCGGGAACCCACAACTGCCACGCCCTGGTCCTCCGCTAGTGGCCGAGCCGGCCCCTCCTTGCTCAGCCCACTGCCCTCACCAGGAGTTTAGGCAATGCTCTCTTCTCATCCAGGGGACCAGAACCAGGGATTTGTTGTCCAGTGGCCAGCTCCGTCCCCATGTGGCGTGCTGTCTTTGTCTTATTCCTCCCAGGAAGATACAGTTAGGTGTGGAGGAGTCCCATTGTCCTGGGGAAAAAAAAAAAAAAATCAAACAAAAACAGGTCCCCTGAACCCTTGGGAGGGGATTCAGAAATATTGAGGCAGCCCAGGTTCGAACCCTCTGGCCTGGGATACCTCCGTGTCTCAAGACCAAGAGAACACATTGGGAAGGGATGTCCAGCGGTGGACTACTGGAGTTCTGTCGGGTGGGTGGCAGGTTGAGAGGGAATGTGGGAGAATCTGTCTCTACTGAGGCTGGGGCCCCCTCTAGGGGGAGGAAACCTCTCCCACAGGCAGGGAGTCAGGGTGCCAGGGGGAATGAGATCATCCACCAGATGAGGAGATAATCATAGTGCTGGAGCAAGAGGTGAGGAGGCAGAGGGGCAAGGTCTGATTAGCAGCTCCACTGAATGAAGCTAGAGCCTCCAGAGACCCTGCCCTGTCCTCTAGGGCCAGCCAGCACTCTCTCCTCAGCTTGTCCCAAGCCCCCACCTTGCTGCTAGGAAATGTGCTTGCACCCTCCTTAAAATCCACTTACCACCATCGCCGGAGCACCTGTCAGCAGGTCCCTGTCCTGGGATCACAGCTCCACCCAGGCCACTCCTGGAATAGATCTGGATTGGACAAGGATCTTTAATTGCTAGATGGATCCACCAAGAGCATTGTAGAGAGTGAGCTCCCCACCACCGAGTGCATTCAAGCAGATGTTAGTTGACCATCCACAGGGTGGCTATAGAGATTTCTGCCTTGTGTTGGGGGCTGGGTCTAGGTTAGTGTTTTTCAAACTGCAGACTGAGATCCAATAGTGTATTGTGAAGTCTGATTTGTGGGTTGTAACTGGTATTTTTTTTTTTCAAATAAAATGGGATAAATGAGAATGGAAAAAAGTCAAAACACATTCCATATAATAGAGTAAATGTTTTTATCACAATTTCTTAATTATGTATTTTCAGTTATGTAAATATTTATAAATATAAATAATGTTATATTTATAAACATATTTTAGAAATATTACTATAGTTACAAATAAATAAGCATATATTTACATATTTATGTTTATAGTTCAGTTATGTGTACATTTCTGTGTATGTAGTTGTATCAGTGACTATAGGTATGTGTGTCTGTCAGCGTTATGACGGGTATATCCTGGGTCATGATACAAAATGCAGTTCTTTGTTGTTGGTCCCAGTAAGAAAAAAACACAAGCTCAGTGATCCTTATGACCTTTTCTAAGACTGTAAGCCTGTGGATAACTCTTAACAGACTATGAATTTTTTTAAAAAAATTTTAATTTTGGTAAAATACACGTGACACGAAATTTACCATTTTAGCCATTTTGTGGTGTACAGTCCAGTGGTATTCATATTTTTGGGCAACCATCACCACCATCCAGCCCCAGAACTTTTTTCATCTCTCCAAACTGAAACTCTGTCCCTGTTGAACACTAACTCTCCATTCCTTCTCCCTCCTCCCCAGCCCCTGGCAACCCTCATTCTATTTTCAGTCTCTATGAATTTGATTACTCTAGGTACCTTATGAAATCATGCAGCCTTTGTGTTTTTACGACTGGCTTCTTTCACTTGGTATAGCGTCCTCAAGATTCATCCATATCATTGACTATGAACTTCTTGCAAGGAGAACTGTCTTGCTCAAACATGTCCCAATGACCACGTACCAAATAGGTGTCCAAAATCCAAGTACCATGTTAAGTGGAAAACTGTGTTTCTGTAGGGGGATAGTCTATTCTCAAAAATTGAGAAGTCTGGTCTAATATTGTTCTTCCTGAGCAGGGTGTTGAACAGACACACTATTGGCCGGGGTGGTGGTGGGGGTGTCTTGCAGTTTTTTTTGCTTAACATTTAGATTTCACTTTGGCTCAATAAAAGAAATCCCAGGGCCAACCAAGTTTGGCTGCCTTCTAGGCCATTTAAACCACATTCGCCTGATGGGACATAAGTGTGCTGATAGATACGACCTCAAGTAGAGCAATAAAGATTGATAAACTGAGATCTGGAGAGTAAAGTGTGACAGGAAAGAAGGCAGAGAAGGAAAGTAAGAGGAAGGTAAAGCGAGAAGGACAGTGTCTGCATTAAACCAACCATACAGAAAGAACAGGAAAATTCAGATCTTTTTGTATCGTTGATTTTAAATAATTGGATGTTTTCAAAATCAATATCATAATCCAAGAAAGGCTTAATTTTTCCTGAAGTCTTAAGATCCTTTCTGCAGACCCCCTTGATCTCTTTATATTATTTCTCACTTAACTGGAGACTATCATTTGGAGGTACAGAATTCCCAGAGATTTTGAAATCATAGGTAGGTAGGAATGAGCCATTTATTTGGGGAGGGGAATAGAAATTTGGGAGAAAACTATAAAACATTCAAAATGTAATTTTTTATATTGCTCTATAGAGAACCAAACTCTATTTCCAACCCCGCCCCCCCTTTTTTTGTCTTGGCTAATAAACTCTCATCATGTATAATTTAATTTGCTTACTAAGTTAGAATTTGCTGTATTTAGAGATGTGATAGTCTGGAAAAAGGTTATTTTTTTTTTTTTTTTGAGGAAGAGTATGGACAAAAAAAATCTCTTCTGATATTTTAAAAAGCATTTTGCAGGTTTTTACATCTTTAGTTCCACTAGGAAGACAGGAAAATACACAGATAAAGGTCCACTACCCCTGCTTCCCCATACACACCTACACATCCCCCTTCCTCCCCTATGCTCTCTGGTCTTTTCTATCCATTCAAACTGATGGTTGCCGTGTGTCCATGCCCTTAGGGTCCTTCTTTCAGAGGTAGGTTGTTGGAAGCAAGAGGACAGAACAGATGGGAAAGGGTGGAGCTCTGGGATGATTGGCCTAATTTATGGTGGAGAACAGGCATCCCGGGAGTTCAGAGAACCAATCAGGGAATGTGAATCCGGAGAAGGGAGCTGAGTGCAGACTATAGGGTGAGAGAGGGGGTGGGGCAGGGTGTAGAGTTCCAGGGGATCGTTTGGGAGTCAATGCCCAGGTAGAAAGCAAGGTTGAAACCGAGAATGAGGAAGCAGGTGGATAGATTGCATTAGCTAATAGCACTAACACAACTTACCTGACGTTGATCCTGGGACAGACCTATCTGTCTTCTTCACTTGGCACCAAACAGATATGTAAGGACTCAGTAAATATTCCATGAACCCTGCTTGAAGAATGTATTACCCCAGAAGTAGTCTAGCTAACCAAAACTTTTTATCAAATTAAAGAACTTGGGACAAAACAGATATGGTATTGATAATGGTGAAAGAAAGAAAATACTAGAATTTAGATGGTTTGTCTAATTATTTTTCTTGTCTAATTATTTTCTTTATTAGTGAGGGAGCTGGGGGGAGGGGCAGAGGAAGAGGGAGAGAGAGAATCTTCAGGAGGCTCTCACAACCCTGAGATCACAACCTGAGCCAAAATCAAGAGTCAGATGCTGAACCTGAGCCACCTGCATGCCCTGAGTCTTTGTCTAATACAATCAACATATTTATAGAGCTGAATGCAAATGTCAAATATGTGAAGGCTAAGGAATATGTCTATTAAATTTATCATTGTATTACTTCCAAGCACCTTCCTAATGTGATATGTATAGTCGATTCTCAGTAAATATGTGTTGAACAAGTAATTTAAGAAAGAAATCAATAATAGTAATCCAGAACTGAAAATACAGATCCCCGTGACAAAATCAGAAGGTTTGTGGTGAAAGGAAATAGAAGTATGCAATAGCTCTCATCTTTCACAGAGAAAACCATTAGATACTGTTTTCTTCTTAATATAATAAAACATAGATATAAATGATTTTTAACTTGGAGATTAAAACAAGATGTAAAACTTACAAAGCACTGGGGAAGAATGAAAGAATAAAGAAAACAAGAATAATATTGTAAAAGATGAGAATCTCTCTTGATTGTAGCTAAATGTGGATTGGAAACCTGGCTCTGCCCTTCCTACTTAGTATTGGGAAAGGCACCGACCCTCTTGGGCCCTCTGTCTCTTCATCTGAAAAGGGTGGGAAATGAAGATGCCAGAGATCACCATGGCTCCTCCCATCTATGGGCAGAGAGCTTGACCTGTGGAAATGCCTACAAATCTATTGCTTGTTCTCTGCTGATGTGAAAATGATTTAATTTATTACACATGGTAGGGCGTGTGTATGCTTTTGAACA